CGAAGTGAACTCCTTGCTTTTGGTGCAACGCTCCCATGAATGTTGAGCTCGGCTCTCGGGCCGGCGTGGCGGCCTGCCATTCATTCCTATTTCGTTGTATGCGACGTTGAGCACGTCTGAGCGGAGGAGGAGGCAAACGCCCTGCCACCCGGTCCGCTGCAGCCGAGCCCTGTCGCAGCAGTAGCACGATCAAAGATTCTGGTCAGCTCCCCGGGGTGGAGGGTGGGGGGTGTCCCCCACCCCCCGCACCCCCAACACAGCCTGCAAGGTGCAGTGCTCTGCTTCCGCTGCTGTGGTGCTGGACTGCTGCAGGGATGTTGTCTGATGCGCCACAAAGGGGTCATGAGCTGAAGCGCCGCCCAACCACCATGAAGAGCCGGGCGAGCGCCTGTGAGGTAGGCAAACTGGCCGGGGTGATTGCACGCGAGCGTAGCGGGCCCGCCTATCCACCAGGCGCCTTTCTTCCGCGAAGCCCCCTCCTCGCTCGACCAAGCTGACCGGGCGGTCTCAACAGCGCACCGCTCGCCAGCCTCCACGCCCGCAGATGTGCGCCGCGCTGACAGGGGACTGCAGCCCTGCCTATGACGCCGTGGTGCAAGATAGTGCTGAGCTGGCCGGCCGGCGGGGACTGACAGATGAACATACCGACAGCTGTCGGTGCGGAGGCTGCAGAGCGCAGCTGCTGCAGGCCCTCTCGAAAATCCAGCAATGGTCTTTTTCTACTGGCCTTGCTGCGGAGTCAACCCTTTAAATGTTACATTCCTGTTTGTAGTTTTGGAAGCAGAAAACATTCCCTTTCTATGGCAATAATAGTTTTCGGAATGGTGTTGGGCGGTGGGATCGGGCGCTGCGTCCCCAGGATCCGCGTTGCGCGCGCCGTAGGCCTGCACGGCGGAGGCGTGGCGGCGCGGGCAGCGGCAACGGCGGCAGGAGGGTGAAAAACGTGGAAAAGCAGGGGAGAGGGCGAACGTTTCGTTTTTGTTGTGTGGACGAGATCAGGGCGGCGAAGCCACCATGATTTATGTCCGCCGTAGACTGAGCCTCCCCCCTCTCCCACTGCTCCGCCACGCACCGCCCCGCCGCAAGGCCACGCCCCGCGCCTCTGACTGCTCTACGTGACTTAATTAAGGGAGTTTTAAGGGCGTTTTCCCAGGCTTATATTGAGTAGAAAAATGCTGCAGCAGCAAAAGGCAGGCGTTGGCGGGGCGGTCGAGCGGACGGGGGGGCACCGCCGCCGACGCCGCCAGGCGGACGAGGCTGGCAGGCAGGCAGGCCTCGGGAGCGCTGGGCTGGCGGTTACGGGCCCCCGGCCCCGCTCAGCCCTTTTTGCGCTCGGGCGACTCTCCGCCTCGAGCTCCCCGCCGTCCCCGCCACCCCTGCCGCCTCCGCCACCCCCGCGCGGAAGGAGAAACCAGATTCGTATTCGTATTCCTTTGCGCGGCCGCGCCACCGCGGCTTGGGCTGAATAGAGAATGGTTGCCGCCGAGTGTCATACAGAGAGACTACCCCCCCCCCCTCTCTCTCTCGCCCTCTATGACCGTTTCCCGTGCGAACTAACCGCGAAAGTGAGAAATTGCGCTGATTACCGAGGAGACATATTATCCGTTTGCGGCGTTGCGCACGTACTTACAGCTCAGGAGGAGCACAGATTTGCAGTGCGCTTATGGCTGCGCTATGTGTCTTGTGCGTGTGCAAGTTTGTGTAGGTGTGTGTGTGTGTGTGTGTGTGTGTGTGTATGTGTGTGTACGGGTCGGGAGTGACTGGGAGTCGGCTCAGTGCATACAGAATGGGTACGCGCCGCATGACAAGGCAAGCGGCTGGAAGAAGGGAGGGGGGGGGGAGGTGGTCTTACTACAGCGCGGGTAACACAGAGAAATTCGGAGACGCGCGCATATTGGAGTGAATGAGAGTAAGATAGGGACAGACAGAAGGGGGCAGAGGTGACAGACAGGCAGGCGTGCCAGCCGCGTGCTGCCTCGGTCCCCGTGCACCCCCCCCCCCTTCCCTTTTCCCTGGGCCCAAGCAGACATGCCGTGGACAAACTGATTGCTGATGGTTCTCCCTTCCCTCTCCCCCTTTCGTGTTCTCCCCCCCCCCCCTCCACGACGCTGCTGCTGCTGCTGCTGCTCCTGCTGCTGTTCCTTGCCTGCAATTCGCTTTGCCGCTATACGCTTTGCGAATGCACCGCCGTATGAAATGTGTCGCGCCGAGTCGGCGGCGTCGGTGGGGTAGGGAAAGGAAGGAGGCGAGGGGCGAGGCGTTCGGCGGTGCGCTGCATCGCGCATCGCGGTCGGGTATGGCTGGTCGCGCAGCTCGCGGTGAAACACTCGGGCCAGAAAACTGGGCGCGCACTTTATTTGTCTAATCCCACAAACAACGTCAAAACTGTTGCGGTTCGCCGCACCGCACGACAGAGTACCGCGGTTATCGTTGGTGGTCGGTCATTGCTTTCGGGGTTGGCAGCTCAGCCGGGACGACGGGGATCCCCCTTCGGGTTGCCGTGGGGTGTTCTCTTGGGGGCGGCGGGGGGGGGCGAGCTGGGGGCGCGCCGGGGGCGGGCCGCCCCGATATTATGTCTCAGACTTGATGACGGCCCCACCCCGCCGGGCCGCGCGCCGCCCCGCCCGCCCCGTCACGCCCACAGACGGAGGGAGGACAGATACAAATTTGTATTTCCGTGTACACTACAACACAGCGGGGCCCCCACCGGCCCCCACCCCTCTCTCCCGCGCGGGTCGTCCCCTCTCTAATCAGGCCGGAACTCCTCCCGGCCCATAACTCACCTGCTGATGCTCTCCCGCGGGCGCGCGCGCGCGCGTCTCTCTCTCCCCGCCGCCGCTGCTCTTCTTTTGCGTTCAGCGAGTGCGTCGCCGTGCGCGACGTTGACGCGTCGCGTTGACAAGAAGCAGGCGGTATGCGACCTTGAGGGGGCGCGGCGCGCAACCCCGTGGGGCTGTAGGACAACGCCCTCCACGCACGCACTCGACCGCGACAACGTCAGTCAACCCCGCGCAGCAGCAGTAGCAGCAGCAACAACAGCAACTTGCAAACACAAAACGAGGAGGAATGTTCGTCTCGGCGGAGTCGCCCGAGCAGCGCGTTCTCTTCAAAACGACGAGCACTAAACACACAATTCGCAAGACTCGCGAGCGAAATGACAAACTGCCGCGCTGAACGCTCGCGTGCGGCCGCGGGTCTGATCTGGGCGGGACTGACGGACGGACTGCTCGGAACCGATAAACACGAACACGCGCGCGCCTGCCCGCTGCCGCCGGTGAGTTTGAACAACAATAAGGAGACGGGAGGCCGACGGAGTCAGGGAGTGCGACAGAGACCGCCGCGGCGGCGTCGCGCTGCTCACTCTCCAGCCGCCGCGGCCCCCACCACCACGCGCTCCCACTACTCTGCCGCTGCTGCTTCTCGGTGTTCTTTCTTGTTTGTCCGCGACGCCCCGGTCTCGTTAGTCACCCGCGCGGTGTACACGACAGGGCCGTGCCTGCAATGCCACACTACAGGCAGGCGCGATGCTGCATATCGGCGTGGCGGAGCGTGGCGGGCGTGACTGACAAGCAGCCAAGCTCTCCGCGACCACTCAGCATGACCATACCGCCATAGCCACTTCACTTACTCTCGTGCCTCCTGCTGGTTGTCTTCGACTTCCATGACAAGGGTTATGTAGGTTTTTCACCTTGTTACCTCGCAGAGGTCGCAGTCAGTTCCATAGATGCAAAAATCGTTCAAGAAAAAAATACCAATAAATTTGTTGAAGTGTTATTTCCATCGTTCTGCCCTGTAACATTTTTATAAAACAAAACATCATTTCCATAATCAGTGACAGTATTCATATGTTTACAAAATATTGTAAAGTTAAAATTGAACTAACCACATCCATTCACGCGAGTGAAATGTGAGTGCGTTTTGAGGTTGTTCACCGCGCGTCGTTCCGTTTCGCGGCGCAATCACGATTACGGTCGGCGCGGCCCACGATGGCAGAGGATGAGCCGTTTTCCTCGTTACTACCGGAGCGTCGCGTACAGACCGTCAGCCGACGTCACCGCGGCGTCACCGCGACGTCACCGCCGCCACCTCACCAGAGCGCGCGCAGTCAATGGGTTTCTTCAACCTCATCGCCGGTCTACGACTCTGACTCACTACTTTACACACTGCCGCCGCCTGCGGAGGGGGAGTGCGCGGGTCGACTATATTCGCAGAAGACACAAACGGTCGTCACTGACAAAAGGGAGAAGTCATATATGCGGAGAAGAAAAATAAGACAGTCGGAAACAGAGAGAGGGAGGGAGAATCGCTTGTTGAAATTGCGCGAAAAATTCCGTAAATGTAACGCACACTTTCAGATGGTGTTGCGTATAAAGTGTTGGCGGGGCGTCCGTAGCGCCGCCGAGCGAACGCGCGAGCGCCAGGAAAATCCCCCGTAATATTAATAATGATGGATGCTCTCCGGTGCGGCGGGCCCCGCGGGCCGGGAGGGTCAGGATCAAGGACGCAACTCACTCGGTGAAAGGCTGCTGCGTTGGTTTGG